CTCCTGCAACTCGCAGGATTAAAACCCAGGACCTTCGGTATTGTGCGCAAACGACCTAACCGTCAGACCACTGAGCCGGTATCTAACGGTGTTAATGTCTAACTTCGATCAATTCAAGGAGTTGAGCAACCGTAGTTACTATCTACACCCGAACAGGTTGAACTTCACTGGTCACGTCTTCCCACTAGAACTCAGAGAAGATTCCTTACGAAGCTAGTCATTAGTGAGCACAGGTAATTTGCATTACGGGATTGTGAAGATTGTTGAGTTACACATTTTTAATGTTCACTGCTGAGGACGAAACGGCCGTCCAGTGCTTCCAGGTTCTAATGGTGCACTAACATCGGTCGATTCATGGTTTCAAAAATGTGTTATCTAACATAACAATCTTCACAATCCCATAATGCAAAAATAGATAACACACATTCATTCTTTATTTAGTATTTTAGTCCAACTTTTGTACATTGAAATTCAACTTCACTCGATTAATTAATATAGGTCATCAAGTATTTTGCATATATTAGATCATCCTTTTCAGTCATGAAACAGTCTGATTGCATAATCAATATAAGGTCATGCACACAATTATATAACTTAAGCAGAAAAAGAAAAGAATGATTAGTTTATGAAAAAGGATAAGAGTTTACACAGAGTGAAATGAATATCGAACTGATTTGACCTAGACCTTGATAAGTAGAATGATTGTCGCGGATTTATTAGTTTTTTTCAAACAAACAAGTGATTTGAGTTGTAATCATTGAATGAAAAAAAAAATGAAATTTAACAATCAATCGATCGATTGTGAACTACTGATTACATAACCAACTGGAATGTGACTATTCAATAAAATATTGTTAAAAAACACTCCAACTTAAAAAAATGTCTGTTTGCTATTGGATTCAACCAGAAAAAAATGAAACGACAAGCTTGCTGTTCAAGAAATGTAAACTTTGAAAATCAATTCGGTTTGGTCCATAAATTGATGAGAGTTAGATATCGATACCGTTGGATGTCAGCTCAGTGGTCCAGAGTATAAGATCCATTTTTTGTGAAAATCCCTCCATGTATACATTTGTGATTTGTGCTTATTGATTCATTCAGTTGTATATGTTGTTAATCTGTTCGATTCCATTTTGAGATGATACTATTTGTATTTTATTATAGTTTCTATGTCATCTGACTTTATTGAGTTTCTATGTTTCTTTCTGAACTGCATTCATGTTGTTTAAACTGACAGTTAGTCATGGCGACAGCCATATAGATTCGTTCCTCTTTTGATTGGATTGGTTGCACTGACTAGAATTGTGCATTTTGATTGTGAATTGAAGCATTCTTCCAGAATAGGAAACACTCTGTGTTATAAAGCAACCAAATATTATCTTTCGAACGAATCTGATCTATCCAAGAGGGATAGAATAACATTTATTTGTTCCTGTTGATTTGATGAATTAAACAATTGTTGGTGGAATAACTGAATGGTAATATTTGTTTAGGTAACGGTGTATATTTATATTTATGATGAATATTAGAACCGTTATTTACCCAAATCACTTGTTTTGGCTTTCAACTGAGCAAGACGCGTATCTATTCCTCAGACCAAACGTCTGTTTGGACCCTACACAGAGGTTAAGCGTTAGCGTTTGAATCCACCGAGTAGCAAGTAGTTGAGGATCCGAACTGCTGATCAGTTCCATAAAAGGACGAAAAGGCAGTCGTCCAATGCTTTCAGGTTTCTTATAGTAGTCTAACAATGATTGATTCATGATTTCAGTAATACACATTTGGATTTAATTAACACAGAACGAATAGTTACAAAGTACGAGTACATCAAAGTTAAAATTTAAAAAAAAAGAGTAGAAACAAACAATTGAACAGAATAATACAAATTCATTGTATTTTGTGCGGTTTTTTGATCAGCTGTTTACAACCTACACTAATATTTTAAAAATAATTCAGATTTGTTTGATATTTATTTTTTTTTATAAAATACTTCTAACAATAAAAAGCGATGTGTATTATGATGGTGGAGTAATGAGATTGGAAATACAAAGAAAGAGTGTAGTTAATAGATAGACTATGTTGGACCATTAAACATGGAGTAACAAGAGAGCATAGAGATCAATTAATCAATCAATAGCAACGTAAAACTTCCTAAATACGTACGCACGTCAGTTCATGTTGCCATACCACATTGGCACAGAGATGCTACCTTGACGTGGTGGTCGGGCCTGCTTATCGTGATGACCCAACCAAGCTATATTGGCTAGAACATATGTTCCTGAAGGTTCTACCATGCCAGGCAGGTCCACTGGAGAACGATCAGAATAAAAGCAGCTACTCAAGGTCTGAGAGCGAAGTCGTATTGTTGACTGCAGAGGGGTGTGACAGCAGTAAGGTGTTTCCCTCGGACAACCAGCATCAGCATCGATGCTGCCTTACCTTCTCACAAGGAAGGAAGGGTTAGAAAAGGTCGACCCTTACAATGTCACACCTCCCCTAACTCACGGATTTTCGTCTCCTTGGGTAAGGGTGCACACTAAGGGCCTTTAAGAACGGAGCTAATACTCAAAAAACCTTTCATCAAAAGGCCGTGCGTGACCGGCCTCAAGCAGTTGTCCCTTGGACTCTGCGGTCACGCACCCAGGTCTCTAAGACCAACACTAATCTATCTTCCTTTTCAGGTTCCTTCAAGAAACATCCTTCCACGGTGCGGGCAGCCGGGAAGTGACAACCGCCCTCATACCCGTAACAGAGCAAAGAGATAAAATAATCAATTGACTGCATAGTTAAGAATGACTTTATTATCATCAACTGACGGTTGAATTCCATTCCCCACAATTTCATTGAAATCACAGCCATCTAACAGCTTAAGCGAAACAGTTGTAAATTTTTTAACACGAGGGTTGTGGAGATAGTTGAATTTAATTGAAATCATGTATCGATGAGTGTTAGAATACCACTAGAAACCTTGAATCATTGGACGGCCGTTTCATTTTGGTACAGGACTCATCAGTATTGCTCATCCAAAACCTCGTAAGCAAGAATCGAACCAAGGACCTTCAATCTCGCTCTCGAACCCTTAACCTCTACACCATTAAACTGGTTAATGTCTAACTAAGATCTATTCAAGGTCTTGTGCAACCTTATCTACGGTCTTCAGTGGGGCACTGCTTCACATCCGACAGGATTGATCTCAATGATAATCAATCCATTACCCCAAAATCTCTGTCATTCTCTTTTACTTAAATTACATTACCACATTTAAATTCATAACTTTCATTGACTGATCTCAAGCATGTTAGTTTTCATTACTATTCATTGATCATTCACAAATACTTGATTATATAATCACAATAAATGATCAGTTGTTCACTGCAGAATCCTCTCTCACACATCACAATTGTTTACATTACTCCTTTTCTGCACTTCCAATCTCAATAAACCACCATCGTGATAGATATATAGATTTTTACAATTACGAAAATATCAAATAATTCTGATGCTTTTTTAGAATATTACTGTAGGTTGTAAATAGCTGATGAAGTAGTCTACAAAATAAAATGAATTTATGTAATTCTGTTTCACTGGTTGCAATTGTTCTCTTTAAAAGATTATTTTTAGAAAAAAGAAAGCTAAATATCATTGTGAAAATTCAATCCAACTAATTGAAACAGTTCAAATTAAAGCATTGGAATTTTTTTCATTAATCTTTCTGGTTTGCGTTATTTAAGCAAGTTAGCTTTTTATAGGGTAGGTTCGCCAATCCCATGACCAACCCTCCTCATTTATCCTGGATTGGGACAGGTAGTAGCCCTCTAAAGGGGCTCTAGGCGGAGGGTGGAACAGGAGTGAGAATGTAATTGCTTTCATGGACATTAAAACAATTGCCCCAGAGAAAATTTCGAAAATATGAAGAGAACAAGTAATGAGAACCAGTACTACTAACGTCTTCGAACTTGATGAACGAAAATGGTGACTATGTGAATTCGGTAGTTTAAACAAGAATAATAATAATAATAATACATTGGCCATTGAGAAACAATAAGTACCAAGATAAAGTTTTAGTAAAAAAATACACGTCAACACAATGCACCTCTAAGATAGGCATAGAAATGACAAATATCAAAATAAAACAAAACTAAATACAAGTCTCTTGCAATGCACAGATAGTTCTCATATTTCAACTAATGAAATAGCACCTATTCCAGGGTAAAAACACCATAAATGTTTAACAACCATTGGGTTGAACCTTCATACCAACTGACATGTATTATAATGATGAAGTCAGTCAGTCAACTACAACAAAGAACTCGGTACCTAAGTACCTAAGTACATCAGTTCAAGTTGTTATAGCACATTAGCAAATAATGATGGAATTTTTTTGTTGACTCAATTAGAGTTATGGAAATCAGTTATGCTACACATTGAAATCATCAATCAATCATTGTTAGACCACCATTAGAAACCTAGAAGCACTGGACAGCGAAAAATTCCTAGGCTGATCAGAGTTAGACATTAACACTGTTTGATGCCAGCCCAGTGGTCTTAGAGGTTAAGAGTTCGCCCATAAGACTGAAGGCACTGGGTTCGAATTCTGCGAGTAGCAGGAGTTGTGGATGAGCATCGCTGATGAGTTCCATACCAGGACGAAAAGACCATTCAGAGCTTCCAGCTTACTAATAGTGGTCTAACAATAATCGATTGAGAAGATGGAAGTGTCAGTTCAAATCTCATAGTAGTAGAAGTAATAGAAATATTAGAAAATTAGGAATCAAAGATATAACCTGTGAAATAAATCCGAAAAGTGAGAAAAATGTACATGAACCCATCAGAAATTTACGAGGAAAATAATCTGTAATACGACATGCAAATTTTAGGGAAAAATTCAAAAAACAACCACACAAGAAAGTTGCTGCAACTACACAAGAGAGAGAAACAATGTCAAAATACATAATAATTATTATAAAGACACCTTCCAAAAAAATAAACTTATAACCTACTGAAAATTCTGTATTCATTTTATTCTCTAACAGATCAATTTGTTGTTGTGCACGTTCATTTAATTCACGTGTTTGATGTGCTTCTTGTTTAGCTAATATTCTGAATGCACGTAATGCAGCTTTACGTTTTACTCTAAATTAAAATAGAAAAAGGAGAGATAGGGAGAGCGATTAGGAAACTGTTTAAATAAAAAAAAATAACTAAACATTCAATTTCTTATTATGTTATTTCAGTAAGATTGTTGATTATTTGAAGCAAGTGATACATAGTGTCCCACGATCTGACTCCGATTTGGAAGAATAATCAGATATGCTATGAAATAAAACTTCCCTTCAATTCCCGGACAGCATGCCTAAGTGAATCATGTTTGTGCGATGGAGGTGATTATAAAGCCAAAGACGGATTCAGTTGGACGAATTGATTTCATGCGATCGTTTACGCAGACACATATGAGAATAAAAAGTGTCAAAGCAAAGTGAAAAGAAGTACAAAATGCAAGGGAGCCAACTCTCTGTGATGAAGCATGAATAGATATTCATAATTTTTTTCCATTTAGAGTTATGGAGATCATTGTTTTTACACATTGAAACCATGAATCAATCATTTTTAGACCGACATTAAACACCTGGAGGCATTGGATGGCTGTTTCGACCTGGTATGGAATTCCTCAGTAGTGCACATCCATGATTCTTGCACCTCGCACGATTCCAAACCAGGACCTTCGGTATTGTGCGCGAACGTCTAACCACTAGACCACTGAGCCGGTATCTAACGATGTTAATGTCTAACTTTTATCAATTCACGGAGTTCAGCAACCTTATACACAGTCTTCGGTAGTTACTATCTACACCCGAACAGGTTGAACTTCACTGGTCACGTCTTCCCATTAGAACTCGGAGAAGATTCCTCACGAAGCTAGTCATTAGTGAGCACAGGTAATATGTATTACGGGATTGTGAAGATTGTTAAGTTACACATTTTTGAAACCATGTTAGACCACCATTAGAAACAATTTAGGCTAGACAATGTAATGAGCGAAGTAACCAATGCATATACGCACTCGAATAAAAAACAACCGAGATAAATGAACGAACAAATAAACAAGCTCGAAAGACGTGAATAGTGAATCGAGGAGAATGAATATTGGTTAACTTTTTCAAAGGTTGAGATAAGCCCTGTGGACCCGATATTATCAATACACACACTACAGGTACTGTTGATAATTGCACAAACCAGCTACAAAGTTGAACTGATTAATAAAAGCTTTGCATTATTCGAAATCTAAGCATGGAAACATGGAAAAAACATATGACTAGGGTGATAGACTATGAGGACTGATCAACTCAATATGTTTACACCGGTTTAGTAGTAGTAATTTATCAAGGTCACATCTTGCTTACATTTCACAGCATCTACAAATGTGATTGACCCAAAGTGAAAAAAGTAATTAACATTATCGGCAGAGTATATTTAACTCATAACGTAACCTTTACAAAACCAAGTCACAGACATTGTGGATAATGTATGATTTTAATCTACTTAAGTGATGTGATAGCTGAATTATGAGCATGAAATAAATACAATTCGTTACAACTTTCCTCTTTATCACAAACTTTGTTCATCGCATTTATTATAGTGCTATGCAGATTGTTAGATCAATCAAAGTTAGACAATAATACCGCCGGATGTCGACTCAGTGGTCTAGAGGTCGGTGCGCGAAATAGGAAGTCCTAGTTAGGATTCTCGCGAGCGGAGGCCTTGCATACACACTGCTAATGAGTCTCATACTAGACGACGAAACAGCAGTTCAAGTTTCTAATGGCGGTCTAACAATAACTGATTCATTATTTCGTTTATCATGTTACTGGATGTCATTTGAGCAATTTCTTTTGCGATTTTTTTTCCATAAACATGATTGCAGTTTTCTTTGTGATGTTATTATTAATACGAAAATTCCTAGACCTCAGATTTTTTGACTATCATTTACACAACTAAACTTTTTATTGTATTGATTATTTTTTTTGTGGTAGACTCCCATCTTCAATAACTAAGTGTTTTGCTTAAAAATGTTGTTGAAGTCGAGTTTTTCCGATAAAAATTAATCAAGTTATAATTATTTTCATAGTAGGGTTGTGAAGACGATTGAACTATTTTGATATCATGCATTAATTAATATTAGATCACCATTAGATGGCCGTTTTTTGTCTAAGTATAAGACTGACTAGCAGTGCGAATCCATGACCCTACGTCGCGGAAATCGAACCCAGGACTTCCGATCTTGCGCACGAACGCTTATGCTTTACACCAGTAAGCCAGCATCTGAGGGTGTTATGGAATAACTTCAATCAGTGGTTAAAGAAGGTAAGCATTGGTGCGCAAGACCGAAGGTATTGGGTCGATAGATTCATGATTTTAAAAGTAAATGTACAGTTATATTAACTCCGCCTCGAACCCCTCTGGGGCTACTTCCGGTCCTAAGCCCAGGCAAAGTAGAAGCGTTAGGTGCTTGAGGTTGGCGACCGCATCGCGTAGAAATTTATCTCTCTAAAATAACTCTAACCATACAGCTATATTCAGTAACTATCAGATCGATATTAAAAATATAAAGATAGTACCGACAGGCTTTTCAACTACAAAGCTTTCCGTATAATGCTAAATCCTGCTACCCTCAATATAAATGAAGGCTTTACCATTTATCCGATTTACAGAATCTATCCAAGTTACTATATATCTGATTCGTTTCACATCTTACATTGTCATCATACATACAAAATCAACTCTATGAATAGTATTGACTTTCCAGTGATTTTTATATTGTTTAAAAAGGAATTGTTTTCCATCCTATCTGAAGATCATGATTATTTCTTGTTGTCCAATAAAATAACAGTCCACAAATTTATTCCATGAGAATAAATTCCATTATCGTTCGTTTTAATGAGACTGTACCTGATAAACAATTAAAATTAGACAGCTGTAGAGCTATTCTTTGGATCATAATGTTGTATCATTCGTATATATATTAGATACAATTGTACAGCTTCAATGAACGCATTAGAATAGATTCTTATATTGAGCCAATGACAAATCACTTGCGATGTTCACAGAATAATGAGAATTCAACAGTTATGAAGAGAAATAAAGGTTAACTAAAATAGGTTAGCACATCGTCAGGTAGATAAAAGCATTATTGAGGCAGGAGGTGAATGCCTCTAAATGCATTGATACGGCCAACAATAAGCAGTATCTGTTCTCCTTCTCAAAATGCTTTCACATGACTGTTTTGGAAGTTCCACTGATTTATTTCTCGTAGCACAGCACGAAAATCGTGTATCAGGCATTTTAACCGAGTTTGTAGGTGAGAATGATCCATCTAGGTAAGCTGGAAAACCTTGATTCCAAACCAATCGTAAAAACGGATTACCGGATCCTGATTAAACAAGTAGCATATGAATCTACCGCTTGTCAGTGGCTATCATATGACTCCATCTTCTGACTAGACCTGTATGTTAATGGTACGAAGAGTGGCCCCTCGAGGAAACCACCTGCTCCAACTAGGACAATCACGAAGTATCCAAGATTTGTGTGGTACCTACATATTTAGGTGCCCCTTCGTACAAATAATTATGTATTTAACAAAGAAGTAAATTAGAGTAAGTATCATGGATTTTTTTAAGCCGATATCATCTAATATCCTAAATAAATGATTTTGAAACTTGTACAGACTTCAGTAGGAAAAATAAGCTGACTGATGCTACATCCAATCAGCATTCCAATTCTTACTACTATTAAATACTAAAATACACATTCCTTCGTTTGTCATGAAAATTTAGTTTACCTCTTATTTACTACTTACAACAGAAGCAGATGTGAAAGCATGGATTAGCGTAACAAGGACTGCATGAACACAAATGAAGATATCAAAACAACTATCAAACAATACCAAAGTTATAATTTTCAATACAAATGTCAATGCAGTTCTATTGTATGAAGCGAAAACTTGGAAAATAACAAAAGCCATCTGCCAAAACATATAGGTGTTTATTAACAGTCGTCACACAGGAAAATGAGAATCCGTTGATCAGACATCATCAGCAATAACCTACTATGGGATTGAAATCGGGAAGAATCGCTGGGGGTGGATAAGACACATATTGAGGAAAGCACCCCCAACTGTGATACGAGGCAAGCCCTAACCTGGAATCCTTAAGGTCAAAGGAAAATAGGAAGACGAAAGAACACACCACGCCAACGATGGGAGACAGACATCATAAGCATGAACAGCATACGACAACAAATGAAACAGAGTGAATAGCATAGAATTGGTTGGAGATTACTGATAGGTCGCCTAAGTCCCCCACCAAGAATAAAAGACATAAGAAAAATATAACGAACTAATCGCAATAAGGATAACTCACTGTTCATCTTCACGGAACTTCTTCTCTTCTACATTAGTATTCACAATGCGTTTAGATGTGGTAGTAATCGTTTGACCATCAATAACAAATCTACGAGTTCGTGTTCTTGTACGATAAGCGCTATTTTGACGTTTAAGCTGAAAAAAATATATTATTATAAGGCATGATCAAAAGAAAAAAGACATAAGATCAGAACATTGGATTATGATATGCGATTAATTCATACGACAGATTTGTAGAGATTATTGAATTTTGTATTTTTACACTATGGACTAAACTTCGTTAAAAACAACCATTTAATCAGTAAGAAACATTGAACAGCTTTTGTTTTGTTACTGTAGTACGTGACTGCTCAGCAATGCTTATTCATATGCCTCAACAGAAATTAAATTGAGAACATTCAATTAGTACGTGATGTACACCAAACCGATGGTTAATTCTGCGTTCTAACAAAGACAACTAGACAATTCTGTGCTGTAGAGTTGAATTATGGTAATTTACCATTTGAAGTATTTACGTAATTAGTATGACGATATACAAATTGTCAATGATCAATATCAGGAAGGAGAAAAATGTTTTGTCATGTACAGAAATTCACGCATATTTTGTTGCTTTCTTTTATCTATTCAACAATGATACAAACGAATATTATTAAATTGATTGTCTAACCACGTACGACAAGGTTTGAGGGTAACCACCAGCTAATGAAACTCATCTTGAAATATTATTCAAAAATTGTCAATCTAACACAATTATTTGTGAGGTCCTAATAATAATTCCTACACCGAACACTCAACGTTTAGCTATTGAGCCTCAATCGCAGGTTCAAACTACACCGAACCAACTAAGTAGTAACATTAATCTTTTACACTTCATGTATGATTCATACACCCAAATATATATATGGAGAGAGTTAGGAGATTGAATGCTTGTTACTAGCACTAACTAAGAAACACTTTACTTTAAACCCGACCAGGTGCGCGGTGGTCGGGCTTGCCTATCGTGATCACCCAACCGTGTTATATTGGCTGGAACATATGTTCCTGAAGGTTCTACCATGTTAGGAAGGTCGATTGGAGAACGATGAGACTAAAAGCAACTACCCAAGGTCTGAGAGCGAAGTCGTACTGCTGACTGCAGAAGGGTGTGACAGCAGTAAGGTGTTTCCCTCGGATAACCAGCATCTGCAGCGATGCTGCCTTCTCACAAGGGAACAAGAGGTTAGAAAAGGTCGACCCTAAAACTGTCACACCTCACCCTAACTCACGGATTTCCTTCTCCGGCGGTTAGGGTGCCCACTAAGGACCTTTAAGAGCGGAGCCAATACTCAAAAAATCCTTCATAAAAAGGCCGTGCGTGACCGGCCTCAAGCAGTTGTCCCTTGGACTCTACGGTCACGCTCCCAGGTCTCCAAGACCAACACTAATCTATCTTCCTTTTCAGGTCCCTCAAGAAACAACCTTCCACGGTTTAGGCAGCCGGGAAGTGACAACCGCCCTCATACCCGTAACAGCACACGAGACCGAATTGGTCAAAATCAAATCCTTCCTACACCCAAACACACCTCTCTTCTCTCCATAACTAACTCTACTCACATTCCTTTATTTCACTGCACCGCTAATGAAAACGATGCGAGTTCACGAAACGTCGTTTCTAGTCTTTTGAAACCTTGTCATCTACACTGACTGACTTTAGTTTAAATCAACACACAAAAAATATATACCATTTAAAAATATGGATTAAAAATTTAAAACAAATTAACAAATTAAAATATGAATAAGAAAATATATTGAATTTTTAAAAATTGTTCACTTGAGCAAGCATATGATATGAAAACAGATAAACAACATAAAAAACATTGTGGTTATTTTATAAATGTGTTTATTTGATTTGATTTTATTAGCATATGGACAATGTCAATTTTACATATGATAAAATTGTTCAAATAATTACATTTTTATGCATTTGTTTATTTAACAATAGAAAACAGAGTTATTATTATTATTATTATTATTATTATTATTATTATTATTGCTAAAACCGATTAAGTACTAAATTAATGACTATAACAAGTTGATAACTAGTAACATATGGGTTGTTCAAAGTAAGTTTGGAGAAAATTTCATCAATTAGTTACAGAGTATAGTGGAACTGAACAAGAAAGTCTTGTTCTATTTGAGACTCATATTATCCTTGATGTATCTATCACACCTGAGAGTTGATATTCAACTGCACGCACTAACTCAGTACCATTCACTTCAGACGAAATTGCGTTACATACTTAACTAGTGAGTGAGTCCAGAGAGCCACTGGTTTGTGCAATTGAATGAAAATTCATTTATTTGCATCCGTTATTTCAATTTTTTTACTGATGTTAACGACTTCAAGAACTGAAATAACCCCTCAGAAAAGTCTATATAGACCTATCAAAGTCAAGAAACGTTCCATTCAAAAAACGCTTAATAGAATGCTTGCTAAGAATACCTGGAAAATGCTGAATTATGTGATACAATCCTGATCGGTTATTTAGCCATACCGCTACGATATTTAGTATGGGTACCGAAAATTTCAAAAACTCAAGATCATGAGGTAACTCTATAAATATCCTAGTTTTTACATACAATGATTTACATCAGAGTAAAGCGTTCTTCTTGTATTTAGCACTTTTTCTCTTGTGTTCAAATTACAACACGACCGTAGCTGCTACCTTGAAGTGGTGGGCGGGTTTGCCTATCGTGATCACCCAACCGAGCTATATTAGCTGGAACACATGTTCCTGAAGGTCCTACCATGCCAGGAAGGTCGGTTGAAGAACGATGAGACTAAAAGCAACTACCCAAGGTCTGAGGGAGAAGTCGTACAGCTGACTGACTGCAGAGGGATGTGACAGCAGTAAGGTGTTTCCCTCGAACAACCAGCATCTGCAGCGATGCTGCCTTCTCACAAGGAAGGAAGGGTAGGAAAATTTCGACCCTAAAAATGTCACACCTCACCCTACCTCACGGATTTCCGTCTCCGTCGTTAAGGGTGCACACTAAGGGCCTTTAAGAGCGGAGCTAATCCTCAAAATACCTTTCATAAAAAGGCCGTGCGTGGCCGGCCTCAAGCAGTTGTCCCTTGGACTCTGCGGTCACGCACCCAGGTCTCCAAGACCAACACAAATCTATCTTCCTTTTCAGGTTCCTCAAGAAACAACCTTCCACGGTGTGGGCAATAGTAACAGTTGTATAACTCCGCTTGGAACTCTTTTTGAGGTTACTGCCAGTGCTAAGCACGGATGAACGAGGAGGATTGAGCATGGGGGTTAGCGATGCCATCCTGCAGAAATCCAACTCGCTGAAAAAACGGCAACCATAAAATAATAATTCGCTGGTCGGCGAACTATGCTCCATTAGGGGTAACATGCGTAAGTAACTAAGTAAGTAAGTAAGTAACAACTGTATTATTGCCCAACAGTAAAGAGATTTCCGGATAGATATTTTTAAAGATGTATCAAGTTCAGAATGAGTAAGATAATAAACGATAAAATACTGATTAAAGTTAACGTAAACAGCCTAAAGTATAAACTATAAAATAATTGATATGGACCATAAAAACCTTAAAGTTATGGAGGTGTCAATATAAGCAAGACCAGTGGCGTTTATATATTTTTAGCAAAGAATTCGAAACTAGACAGAAACAATCGTTTAAGTAACTAGTCAGTTTTTAACAGCTACTTAGTACTCAATATAAATTACTAAAATCAATCATTTGAAAAAGTTACAGTTTATCTCATTTTCTTTACCTATACCAAACAGACAGACAGACAGATGACACAACTCAGAACTTTGTTCGTATGTACATCAGTTCAGGTTGCCATACCTCGTTAGCACAGAGACGTAATCATCAGTTCAAACAAAATGGTGGTAGCGATAGTAGAAGTATGAGCAGTAATGGAGGAGGAGAAGATTAGGGTATAATTCAGTGAGATAAAGTTAAAAAGAAAAAGATAGAGATGATTAGGGGAATTCAGAAGATTACCTATACCAAATCAATTAAACTAAATAAAAACAATTAACTTACAGGAGATATAAACACTTCTGATTTATTATTATTATTATCATTATCATTATGATGATGATCATTTGTGGAAATCAATAATGATGATGGATTCGTCCTAGCTGAATCATGAACGATAGCCGAATGATCTGCCGTACGATCTGGAATGAATTGTTCTTTACGAAGAGTAATTCCTTCATGAACATGATTTTTCACATCACCATTATTAACCTGAATATAAATAAATAAAGCAGAACATTTAAGATATGAATAATTTCAAATAATGAATATGTGCATTTAACTGATGAAAAGATTGTAATTAGTTATGGGGGGGATTTGTGAAAATAGTATTACTATTTTCATAGTTGACTAACTGATAAAGGTCCTAATTTTTGGATTTTATGTTTTCGAGCATGGGCTGATCAATTGGTCTTGAGAGTACATTTCTCACCTGTCTGTTTTTGGTGGATGGATTTATTGAAGTACGCACTCCTAAGGACGTTTCTATCTTGTATAAATAAATTCAATTTGTATGCTTGTCTACTTTGTATTTTCTGGATGCTTATAGAATACACTTTCTACGTCTTGGACGAAAGCCAGGTGCGGCCAAACCAAAACATGCCATAAATCCATGAAGTTACTGACAAGTGTGGACTGAGTCATGTTGGTAGATGTATGGACTACCTGGTTGGGGTCCGCGAGACGAAAGTCACCAATGGTTAGAGACTTTACATGAAATGACTCAAAATCGTTTGAAATAGCACAGGTGCATTCACTCTTTGTGTTCTCTGTAATTCTAACCTTCTGCATTTCTCATAATCTCTATCTTTTTCCTTCTAAATTTATCTCACTGAATTATACTTCTCGAATCATATTTTCGCTCCCTAATCTTCTCCATTATTGCTAATACTTCTACTATCGCTATCACTCTTCGATTTGAACTGTCAGGTGCGTCTGTGTGCTGATGTGGTATGGCAACATGAACTGATGTACTTATGTACAACGTTCTCCGTTGTATCTGTCTGTCTGTCTGCTTTTAACTTATGAAAAGATTGTAATTAGCTAGGGGGGATTTGTGAAAATCACGAGTTGATCCAACGGTAATATTCTGCAGATTATCAACATTAACATGACTGGATGACAGATAGAGTGGTCAAGCATTCTCTACAAGAGAAGGAATATCCTATGTTCAATTCTCACTCACAGGGTCGTCAGTGTGCACTACAGACGAGTACGATATTAGGATGAAACCATCTCATCCAGTGCTTCTAGGTTTTTTAACGATAATCGTCTAAGTTAGATAAGTTTTGTAATCTCAATTATAGAAAGTAAAATTATGTTACGGAGATACAGACAGAATATTATTAAGTTGGCGAATGAACACGTTTGTAATTTTGAACTTTTTTTCACTAACTACACTTAAAATTTGTATACGATTTTTTTTTCAATGTTTAGATAAAAATCTTAACATAAATAAACAAAACGAATTGACATAAATATATCTGACAACTTTTATAAGTTACATATATAATCAATCATTCATTCATTCAGTTAGTTAGTTGCAATGTAGAATTTTGCTCGCTCATAAGTACAACAGTTTAAATCGCTATGCATAGAGAGATGAAAGTATTCAGCCAAATTCAAGAATATAAATCAAGACAGTAGAAATGACTGAACTAGATGATTGGAAGAAAATTGAAAATAAACACCACTGAATGATATCGATCAATGAAATATGTATATATTTTATTGATTAAACCAACTAAGTAATATGAAAAAAATACCGACGTTTTGATTGACATAAAAATAGACAAAGAACTAAAATAAACATTGCACGTGGTAAAGAAAACTAATTCTGAAAAATGAACTTAACTGTACAGTGTGTCATATCATTCAACAACTCTCAATATAAAGACATATAATGATTAAAGTTAGACATAGATGCCGTTGGATGCCGGCTCAGTGGTCTAGACGCTAAGTATACACGCGCGAGACCGAAGGTCATGAGTTCGATTCTTGTGAGCGTGGATCATGGATGAGCACCGCTAATAATTATCATACTAGGACAAAATGTCCATCCAGTGCTTCCAGATTTCTAATGGTCAATTCATTATTCCAATGAAACTTACCACACTCCATAACCCGATAGTAAAAAACATAATATCTCATCTCAAATCTAACTTATTACTTCTAATGTATTTCATCATTTTTACCACTAACAGTACACCTAACTTTCTACTATCGACTTGTACTTTTACTCATTATTATGTGTAGTTACGTAATCTCTATTTCATCATGATTATTAACTTATATTGACTGAATTGCCTTGATAGGGTTTAACATTTTCATATAAATATTCATGCATATTAAAGAGTAAAGGCGGATGACGATGTCATGAGATAAAACAATATTGTTCGCTTATATCTGTTCTAACATAGAAAAGTGTTTTAATAAGCTTGATCAATAATGCGATCATTTGACCTTAATCATTACCAAAAAATAGTCTGATATAAGTATGATATACCAAAAGGACATTACATATATACACACAACCAATAGGTGATGAATTTCAGTTAAGACGAAACTTTTAACTCTGGAATATTATCGTTAATGTGTCACTTCTCAAATTACACAATCAATTTGTAAATATTGGCAATAATTAAGCCTCTATTTAAAAAAAACACTAGGAAACTATGAGTAATCATGTTAGTTTTGGTTAGTTAGTTAGTTAGTTAGTTAGATGCGCTCAGCAAATAAAGCGTTAATCAATCAACACTATGATTCAAATTATCAGTAATATGTTGCAGTAGTCTCATTCACACAGAGGATGTAAATCTGAAGCCAAATACAAATTGGTGTATCCCACTTTCAAGCATGGTAGATTATTCGTTATCCATTGATATAAGCCGCTGAATGATTTTAAATCAATGTGGAAGGTTGTTCATCCTCATCACATCATAACGAAACATAATGACAGTTGAATCCACGACTCCTGCTCCTCGCAGGATTCGAACTCGGGACCTTTGGCATTGTAGGCGAACGCCTTACCATCGGACCACTGGGCCGGCATCCAGTGGTAAGGCGTTCGCCTACAATGCCAAAGGTCCCGGGTTCGAATCCTGCGGGGTGCAGGAGTCGTGGATGCGCACTGCTGAGGAGTCCCATACTAGGACGAAACGGCCGTCCAGTGCTTCCAGGTTTCTAATGGTGGTCTAACAATGATGATTGATTAATAATGATTTCAAATGTGTAAAAAACGCAAACCTCCAAAACTGTGCCCCAATATAATGACAGTTGCAAAAACCGCAGTTGATTAGGAAAATATAAACGTTTCACTCACTCACTCACTCACTCAAACAAACGAACAAAACAAAATTTTCTATAGATTTTACCTCATATTTCACTTGAGCAGGAGTAGGAGTAACAGCAACAGTAGGATGATTCATAGTAGTAGTAGTAGTCGGAGTACTGGAAGTAGTATTTGGTGATTTGATCACAGCTGATTGCATATCGCACATTGCTTCAACTGCACATGATGTAATTGAAGCGGATTGTTGTGTATCATCAGTGATTACATGTGTGATTAAGTCGTCAGTGATTTCATCAATTAGATAATCAGTTATTCGGTTATCCTATACACACGATTACGTAATAGACAATGTTGTAGGTAGGTAAGGGAGAGAGAACAAAAAATGAGAAGAATGCATATATGTTAATGAATGAAAAATGGATTAGATAAAGCGAAATAAAGCGAAATAGCAATTAGAGCATTTAGCAATCATTAAAAAAAATAAATTGGCTTTCATTACAAATTCGATAGGATAAGCAGCAAACACACGGTAGGGTTAGTAAGTGAGTTAGTTAGTTAGTTAGTTAGTTAATCAAATCATGTTAATGTGGACAAAAGAAAAAAGGATAACATACTCAGCAAAACATTATTGTTTTTTTACGAAATAGATTTCAAAGATGAAAATAATTTCACTAGTTAAAATGACTATGAATTCAATCAAACTATTGTACTGGTAGATCATTGACGAACATTATTTAATTACAAAACGAAATATACGTTGACACTAATAAAAATTTTTGAAAAAGAAACAAACACTAGCTAGTACTTAGATGAGAGGATAAATGATATAATGCAAAAGTTAGAGTGCCACATCTGTTTTAACAAATAAAATTATTCAACGAAACGATCAATATCTTTTATGATTTTAAAATGGTGTAGAAAATTTGTAGGTCAGGTGGATGGTTGTGATGGACTTTCGTTCGATTTAGTTATGAAGCTTATATTGTTCTTCTGAACAACAGTGTCATCAACACTTCGAATACACTTCACTTTTACCAGAAGTTTGTACTGATGATGTTGTTCAGGCGGAAGAACAATGAAAGCTCCACAATCAAAAACATCCAACTCACAGAACGAAACTCTATCACATAATTCTTTTATCTACATATTGATTGTAAAGCATTGAATAAGTGTTGAAGTTTATCATTAAAATTTTTTAACTAACAGTTATCTACAGGTACGTATTGTGATGTTACTTCATTGTTGAAAAATAAAATAGTGTACAAATGGAAACTTTTAACGTCTAAATCTACAAAAAAATTGACTGAACTCTAATTTCAAATTAATATGACATGAACTGTAAAATTTGGCTATTGAAAAAGGAAAAAATCTAATTATTTCCTTTTAAAAAAAATAAATAAACACATTGTACATTGAACAGGGATTGTTTTAAACAATTAAGTCAAATTATTTAAGCCCTCAGTTAAATTCAAAATCATGAATAGCAAACTTATTGAAATAAATCGGGAAAATTATTTACAAGCGGCTCAGACTTTAAATTATATGTGTGTATGTTGTATGAAATAAGCATGGAAAAAAATCTACTCTTCCAGAAAAAGACACTATCATTCTAACAAACTTGATACAATAAAGCATAACGAAGCACAATTACTAATTACAGTAAAATTATTTAGTAAGTACGAACACTTTTTTTTTTATCAGACTGTTGCATAGTACAAGTTGAAAGAATTGATGCTTCGATAGAATGGCAGAATTTACATCAAACATTTAATATAATTTTACAAACAGTGCCATTTTTAAATAATTCAATGATAACATGATAATAAAGGTTCGGATTTCTGAAGTAGCATCTAATTTTATTCAGACGCATATGCATTGGTTCGAAAAAGGGTAACTAAATAGTTTTGCTGCAGCCAGAAATTGGTGAATCTGTAAATGGGATGGGATGCTGTCCTGCATGTCCGAACCGGAGTATGCATGTTTCTTAGGGGAGCCAAACATGGAGCATTTGAACCGAAGATCCAATCGACAAGGCAGTGGAGCAACGCCATGAGATGCAGTCTCATGGTAGCCAAAGACCAACAAAAGATTCGTTCATTATTAGTTCCTATAGGACATTAGAGCCTCTTGGTCAGTCAGTTAGTTTGAACGTAGAACTTCGTACGTATGTACATAAATTCAGGTTGCCATACCACATTGGCACAGAGACACAAATGTCAAATCAAATCTCAAGTAATAGAGATAGTAGAGGTATTAATGGTAATGAAGAAGACTAGGGTTTGAAGATATTATTCAAGAAGTATAATTCAGTGGGGTAAGGTTAGAAAGAAAAAGGAAGAGGTGCTGACGAATCCAGAAAATTAGGATTTGAGAGAGCTCAAAGAATGGATGCACTTGCGCCATTGCAAACGAATTTGAGCCATGTTGTTCAAGGTCTCTAACCATTGATGACTTTCGTCTCGCAGACCCCAACCAGGTAAGTCGACAACTACCAACATGACTCAGTCCACTTGTCAGTGACTTTATGGAACCTCTATACCGCATTGGTTTGTAATCAAGCATTTCTAACTCCCCCAGATAGATCCTCTATATCAACCGATTCGGTTAAAACACCAGCCGACTTATTCACATTTGCTCCTCCACAATTTGTAAACAATTTCTCTATCACAAAAAGGAAGTCAGTAGGCTATGCTAACCAGTAGTTATAGACTCGTGGTCTCTTGTGACAGCTATTCAAGAGGGAGTGTGCATTCTCTCCCCAATTCAAGCAATTTAAAGGCTATAACACATTTAATCATAACAGATCATCTAAATTAGAAAAATAACTTAATTTTCTAACATGAAGCAATTAGCTATAAGAATAACAATCATCATCATCATCATAATAATACAAAGCTTATAGCTTTAATCAATCAACATCAACCAATTCATTGATGCCATAATTCAAAGTGCATAATGCTTATAAACAAACAAAAGTGTTGTGTTCATATTGATTAAGATGAAAAAACAAAAGCTCCAATTAATCAGATCAGTGCAGTGTATCATTATCGGAATGATTATCATCATCATAGCTATTTTTTATAGCAAAACTATGTGAATATTTTAGCTGTGCATTACAGTGTACGTATAAACACACACAATGAATTAGGGTATTTACTTGTGGTTTTTGATAATAATCATCAGTTATGATGATCGATTTCATTGGATTATTACAATTAGGAGGATACGTTTTTTTTATGGTGAGCGGTGAAATTGGCAAAGTGATTTCAGTTCGCCATATTTTCTTTGATGATTTAGCAAGTCCTGGTTGTGTTGTTGATGCAGCTGTTGATGATGACTGTGTATTGAGGGTAGTTATTGATTTATCTAGCATGGCTAATGTTGTAGGACATACAGTAACCTTGAATGGACACTGATTCATTATCGATTGATGATTATGATTGGTTGAATGAGTTGGTTGTGTTTTGTCTGATGCTACATACTGCTGCTGCTGATGATGATGATGATCATGATTGGATGATTTTTTATAAATAGATGAAATAGTAAATAATGAACCGGATTTTCGTTGACTTATATAAGCAACAGTAGATCGACGTTTTATTGGTGAACGTAATTTTACATTGGGCATGGTTGTTGTTGTACTACTACTAATACTACTACCATTGGTATTGGTTGTGGTTATTTGTGATGGATTTTGTTTTAATGAACGTGATCGTGCTATAGCAACCAATGATAAACCTTGCATTTTCTTCATTTTCTAATGTATATACACACACATATAATGAAGTATATTTTTATTTTGCAAGGAAAAAATGAATTTTTAATGTCATTTATTTTGGTCAAAAACAACCTTTTTATTAAAATTTAGACAACGAGAAGAAAGAAATTCAATGATGAATGTGGAATAAAAAAAACCAGTGCAGGAAACTGGTTGAAAGCATAACAATAAATAAATAATCATCGTTTTGAAATCATGAATCGGTCATTGTTAAACTACTTTTAGAAACCTGGAAACCCTGGATGGTCGTTTCGTCCTGGTATTGGACTCATTAACAGTGTGTGCGTCCATGACTCCGTGAATTAATCGAAGTTAGACATTAACACCATTGGATATCGGACCAGTGATCTAGAGGTTAGGCGTTAGCGCACAACACCGAAAGTTCTGAGTTCGAATCCTGCAAGCAGCAGGTGTCGTGGATGCGCACCGCTGATGAGTCCCCCTATACCAGGACGAAACGGCTGTACAATGCATACAGATTTCAAATGGCGGTATAACAATGATCGATTCATGATAATTTAAAATGTAACACAACAATCTCCACAACCCTAAAATGCAAATATTTCTCTAATCAATTCAGTGAGTAATCAATGGTACCACGTTTATGTAACATGACAAAACATAAATGAACTCGAAAAAATTTGAAAATCATGTTTACAATTCAATCTGTTCATAGGTCAGAAGTAATTAAGAGAAATTCTTGAAACTAGATTTCACCATGTCAATTGACACTCGAATCTAAGTCGCGGCGCAGTTTTCACAATTGTTACCACTGGATTGTAAAGCTAAACTGTAAATCAAACGTTTTTGTATCGTCTTCAAATGAAGGGTCATATTATTGAATGACATAGATCAAACAATCAAATGAAGGGAGCAAGAACAAAGGTCAACAAGGTGAGAAAATTTTTTTTCCCACAATTACATCATTCAATCATGGTCAACACTCTTTTTTCCAATTGATTACGTACATCACTACGCCCTTTTACTTCGACTGTCGTCTGAATTAGTTCACATTCTTTTTAAAATGAATCAACTTAACTCATTTTAGTCTTTACTTATTGCCAGTGTTTATGCATTACGTAATCACTTGGCTCAACTATTTTAGACTTTTCTTATTTATCAATTATTATTCAGTCTATTAGACTTATTTACACCTTTTGCTCTACTATACTGATGTATGCACAATCATAACACTTTCCCATTAGACTATCTCATGTGTAATAAAAATACTAGAGGTTGTATGTAACTAGCTGACCAGAAGAACTAAACGAACTGAGAATGAATTCATGTTATTCTAACCGAATCTTCATTCTTTTACTGTCTTCAAGACAATGATGATGATAACCATGATAAAGGGAATTCCGTGTATGAAACAAAAAATGATACGCTTTATAATAAAACACAATGATACTCTGAATAAAATGCAAACAAAACTTCGATCAATAAAAACAGGTTAATACATTCTGTTATCAAATTCTAAAAATTCATATATATATATACTCTATGATATTGTTTTCCTTAATTAAAACATTAAAAACGAAACT